AGTTGTCCAGATAATTTCTTTCTATTTTTTGGTAGAGACGGGGTCTCACTCTTGCTCAGGCTGATCTAGAACTCCTGACCTTGAGCGATCCTCCCGCCTTGGCCTCCCAGAGTGCTAGGATTACAGGCGTGAGCCTCCACGCCCGGCCTGAGCTTCTTATAAGTAGAGTTTCCTATCACCCACTCACCCACTCCCAGACTACTGAACCTCAATTTCTGGGAGTAGGACTGGGGATTCTGCATTTTGAAAATGCTTTCTAGGTGATTTAGATTAGCTCACTCTGATTTATATTATGGTAAAAAAATATTTAATTTTCATAAACTTTGTTTCACCACCCTGCAGACTGGTAATAACACCAACAAAGATGGATCTAATCATAAAGCTGAAAGTGGAGCTCTAATAGAAGCTGCAAAATCAAAGATACATCAGGTAGTATAAATTTGAAGGGAGATTATACATCACTTATATTTACTGTGGTTATGAAGAATGAAGCAGTGTGATAGGTCATTGAAACCAGTAAATAATTCAAGGCATGTATACCTACTTGGCTTTGAAGTATTATAGTTTAGAATATGTTTTACTTAAGATGACAATGTAATATATAATTTCTTTAAATTACTCTATAAAAAGTTGAGAGGAATATTCTAGGAATGTTGGGTGATAAAGTCAGTTTGTGGAATTTTAAAAATCATTGTTAGTTAATCATGTACAGATGAGGATTGATAGGATTTTTGCTTAGAATTTATGTATAAATTTTATTCTGCCATGTTTTTATTAATAGCTTTTTAAAGTACCTTCTAAGATACAGTCAAAATAGAATATTTCAGATAATTTTAAACTTGCCATGGCAAGTAACCAGTATAACTATGTTGTAAACAGCTTGAGTTAAATGTTCTTAAGTAGAAAGAAAAACTTTAGCATATGTAAATCTACCATGGTTCTTACATACTAGCATTTTTTCTTTGACAGTACAAAGTACGAGCTTATATCCAAATGAAATCTCTGAAAGCATGCAAAAGGGAAATCAAGTCAGTTATGAACACAGCTGGAAATGTAAGTTTCTTCTGGACTTTTTCTGTTGTTTTTCAATTTGTGACTTTCTTATTTAGACTATGGGTATTTGTCAGTTTTAAATGATTTATTTTAGTTTATTATACATACCACCAGATAAGGAACCTTGAATTTATAGAATTGGGAAGTAGTGATCATACTGTGTCTGTAATTTAATACATTTTTTTACTTAAAATTATAACAAAAATTTTCCGTTATGTAGGCTTCAAAGCCACCATTTTAAATAGCTGCTTAGTATTCTGTGAGTGGTTTATCACAACTTACTTAAACATTTTGCTGATATTAGACATTTAGGTTATTTTGGAATTTTTTAGTATTATACTCAAAACATTTGTTAAAGATTTAATAGTCAAATTGTTGCAAAGACGTGGCTTGAATAATAACTTCAATTTGACTAGTACTGGAGTATTTGAGATATAATTACTCCTTCTTTCCATTCCTTCCACCCTAATCCTCCATTGATAAATAATTTTTAAGATGGTCTAGGGAAGAAATAGAATTGTGAACAATCTTGATGCTTTAGGAAACCTGTAAATTTAGAAGTATAAAATCATGAGAAGCTACAATTAGAAATCTCAGGCAGGATCCAGATTAACCACTGGGTTAGTTCTCTTATGATTTTTGAGAATTGTAGCTTACACCTGAGGCTAAGAGGGAAAGGCCTAATTAGCCCTCCAGCCATTATCAAACCTTTTTTGAGATAAAAGACATAATCCTTGCCTTAAAGGAGGCCATAGTCATAGAGGAGAGACAAACAAAAATAATTTTAATTCAGTGTTACAGTCACACCAGAATCAGGAAAAACTTCAGGAGGAAGTGCTGCCACTGAGAATAAGCCTAGAAAGCCCTTGTTTCCTTAGTGACCAAAACTCTGGAATAGACAAGAGGCAGAGCAAAGGATGAACTAGGATTTAGAAGGAAAGCCTGTTGGCTAAGCTACAGTGGATTAATAATGAGACAAGGATTCCAGAAGTCCTCCTGGATGGATGTTTAGTCTCCATGTCTCTGCATGCTTTTGCACTCAAAATAGGTACTGCTGTTTAGAGGCCCTTCCACCATGAGGATTCTTAGGAGAAGTGAAAGGTGATCTACAATCCAAAACATCTTTGGAATGGCAAGATTAGTGCTCCCAAATAAGGCATTTTGTTGGAAAATTCTTCCATTCGTAGAAGAATTCTCTTTTTTTCTATTTAGAAAAGTATTTGACTATCTTTGAGTTCTAATGAAAAGTGCAGTTGTATGTTAAAAAGTAAGGAAGATAACCAGTCTTTCCAATAACTATTAAAAAGAAGGACCTAGTTTGTGTTGTCAAGTTGACTTCCATGTAGTAGTGTAATAGATAAAGGCAGTCAATTGATAATCTACATACTATATTCTTATATATATGTTGTATTTATTTTTTACATAGCCCTGTAATAATTCTTTTTACAAGGTACTCTATGATAGGTTTCAATTTTTAGATTGCAAGAACAGTGAAAAATTTAGAGACTATATAGTTTTTGTGACTATGACATAATTGATTCATTTATGCTCTTAAACACACCAGTGCAACAGTATAATTATTATACCATCTTCATTAGCCATCTGAAAAAAAATTATAAGTAACTTTTACATTTTCTTTACAGTCTGCACCCTCTCTGTTTCTTAAAAGCAATTTTGAGTACTTAAGGGGCAATTATCGAAAAGCCGTGAAGCTATTAAATAGTTCAAACATTGCTGAGCATCCAGGATTCATGAAAACAGGTAAAAGAAAATTGTGAAATTTTAGTATTTTTTCCTCCTGGCTTTTTTACCCCTTTTGGTTGGCGTTTTGTTTTGTTTTTTCCTCAATTGCTCTTCACAGCAATTTATGCTAATTTTTCAGTGAAAATATGTTAATATTTCTGTAGAAAATTCCTGGAATTTTAGTTTATGACTGGTTTCCACTTTAGAAGAAGCCTCATTACTTCATTCTTTCATTTTTCTTTAACTTCACTTGCTCTTTATTTTGTTTTTTAATTCCAGGTTAGAATTTATATTGAGGCATAAGGTCCTTGGGTAAAGTGTGACCTTATAAGGAAATGAGATAATGTTTTTACTTTTCCCTTTTCTCCCATAAAAGCAGTGAATAATATGATGATTTCTTTAGGTTATTAAATATATCAAAATATTTCTACAAAGTTAGGAAGATAATTTTTGTTAACTATTCTTGCCTCTAGTTAGAAAGTCTTATGAATCTCTTGATATTAATGGTAAAATGAAAGGTAAAAATTGTGGCTGTCATTTAGGTTTATGTCATCACTGTTTTGTGGAGAGGGAGAAGAAAAATCAGTTATTCAAGAAATGAGAGTAAACTATTAAAAATGTTTGTTTTGCATTCTGTCTGATACATACACAGAGTACACATGCAAATGTGCTCAAACCTTCCCCCCTTTACCCTTTCAATTCACTGAAGTCATGGAGGTTGGAAAAGACAGTTTGTTCCATTATAATTCTCTTGTGGGTATTCTTTTTGTTCTAAGTACCCATTTTCTTAATTCTGCTAAATTTTAATTTTTTATGTTTTCATTATCATACTATCCCCTCAGAGGCCCACTAACACTCAACTTGAAATTATCTCTCAGACTAAAAGGATAATATACTTTGAGAAAATTTTGCTTAGGATTGTCTTGATGCAGATTTCACTGTTGATATTGTCAATCTTTAAAATGAAATCAGAAGCAGGGTGTGTAGTTTACTAGTCAACAGTTATAATCTATTTTTTTTATTAGTAGAGTTATTGCACCAGTATTGGCATAAGAGATGGGATGTAACAGTTATAATCTAATGGGAAAGATTTTGATATAGTTGTATATTTTATATATTGATATTTTTCATAGTTATTAATTTTGAAATCTTTAATTTGCTTCCCATATATAAACTTTATTTTTTGCTGCCACTAAAATATGCTTATTAGAGAAAATTTGGAAAATAGAATTTTACTTAAATTGTTCACAATGCCACTACCAGAAAGCAACCTCCTTTGAAACACTTTAGTGTGCTTCCTACTAACCTTTTTCAAAGCCTAGTTTTTCTCCTTTTAAAATATTGTCATTGCTTAATTTAAAAATATATCAAAAGACAGGCTGGACACAGTGGCTCATGCCTGTAATCCTAGCACTCTGGGAGACTGAGGCAGGAGGATTACTTGAG